ACAATCAGTCCAGGTCCGACACCTCGTTGAGTGATATAATCAGACCAGGTCCGACACCTCGTTGAGTGATATAATCAGACCAGGTCCGACACTTCGTTGAGTGATATAATCAGTCCAGGTCCGACACCTCGTTGAGTGATATAATCAGTCCAGGTCCGACACCTCGTTGAGTGATATAATCAGTCCAGGTCCGACACCTCGTTGAGTGATATAATCAGACCAGGACCATATATATTGATCAGAAACTGAGAAAGAGGTGTTACTCCTGATCAGATTCTACTCAGAGAACTGAAACTGACACTACCCAAATAGAAGTTAAGAAAGACCCGATTCGGTCAATTTCAATAGTAAATCTTTCATATCATGACCAACTGTAGTAATATGAAAGCGGCAGTTGTTCCTGAACTTCTTTTGGGTAGTATAAGTGACAGGCTCAAGGAAACTCCTTATGATGTACAATTTCTCCTTGCACTCGACCGTGGGAAGCCTATATATATATTTTACCGCCGCTTCAACTCGAATATCGACGAACATAGGATGCAAGTCAGGACGGAACACACGGACAAGAGAGAGGGTGTGGAAATAGACCCACACATTATAATAGTCAAGGACACACACAGGGTGGAAGGGAATTGGCTATTAGATGATAATTGAACGATATTGGATCATTGATATAGCTGAAGCTTAAGTTAAACATCTTGGCCAAATTACCTTCTTTTTACTTTTTCAATCCAAGCAGAAATTCCAATTCATATGCATAAAGAAACATATACGCAAGAAGGGGGCACAAGTGGTGCTCATGTGAATGTTTACGTCTTGTCTAACCACAACAATTTACATAGATGTTATCAATTACGTCCAGCATTTCATACATTGTTTTGTCAGTAAACTTCAGATGGCATTTGCTTTCATTTTGACAATTGCCTGAACCTCTGAACATAGATATGTATCTGTATCCATGGTCACCACGGCTTGTAACAAAAGCCCCATGTGGGGCGGCCTGACTTTGGATGACAGCTGGCTGGGACAGCATTGGTTTGTTCCATTTCTGTTTCCTCTTTTTCAGTTTGTGAATTCTACCAATGACAACATCACACACTGACTTAGCCCACTCTGACAGACATTCAACAGGTTCTCTTTTGACCCATGTTTTGGCATATGATATGACAGCATCCATAATAATTTAAGTCATTATCACAATTGGCAGGAGGCTGCTCACGATATTTAGGTCCCTATTTGCCGAAGGTTGTCATTGTCAACAAGGTTTATTGGGCCCTGTAGGAGGGGCAAGGGTACCAGTGTATTGTCGACAATAACTCTAGTGTTTAAACAATAACCTCAAACAACCCCCAACACCTGGGGTCTTAGTCCTATACAATGCTGTTCTCTGGCACCATCGCTCTTGTAAACTTCTGATGAACATCACTATTGATGCTTATGCCTTTTAAAGGCACTAGATTTCCGGCCACCGTGCACTTTAATAATCCGCGGGGAAAGCCTTAAGCTTAGGGCAAAAGAGCAGCCGCCCGCATGGAGTGAGTGTCCACGATACACGGGCGGACAGTAGCCATATACTTGAAGCACACTTTTCAGTGCCTTTAAAAACGTGTCGTAAGTTACAGTTTACTGATTGATGTTTGCTGTCAACAAGGGAAGTGAGGTGAAATGGGGTTAACGTCGCTTCCAAGACTATTACACCTATACAGCGACGTGCACGCAGGTGTGTTTGTGTGTCTCGAATTAGGCCGATTTTATAGGCCTAACCCACTGAGATATCATGTCACAGTTTAACATGAATTACACACTCGGACACAGTTTACTGACTCCAAGCCGAACAGTCCATATTTCAACGTCTTTTTGGTACGAACCCCGGACCTTCCGCTCTCCGGTCGGAAGCTCTACCACTAGACCACGGAGGGAGGCAGTCACCTCGGGTAGAGAGATGGAGAGTACTCGTTGTGCGAACTGAATAATTGTAGCGGGCCTAATAGTGTGCACCACAAGGTAGAGTTAGAGCGTCCGGTAACATCTGTATAGGTAGGCTACGACATATTGATCTGACCCTGTGTGACTCCAATGCTCCCCCACCACGCCCACCACTGCATGTTGGTTGGTATTAATATACATATCAGGTATAGCTTCATGATCCACCTGCTGGGTGGTATGGACCCAGTCATTTTGATACACGCCGCCATATTGTACGCATCATTAAAGCAATTCCTGCGAGGAGACAACTGCGCATTTAACTGCACACATAAGTTGTCCCCTTCAAATAGTCACCCAAATCTACCCACCAAAGAATGTCTGCTTTCGCTGCCGTAATGATATAGACATGTGGATGTTTCTATGGACACTGTTACATAGGTCAATTAAGACACGTGGGAATGTACGCCATTCACGGATGGCACGTCCTGACCAGTTGAGCTCACCTATCAATCAATCCAATCAATTGACACTTTATTCTTTTTTCTTATGTTGACAAGTTAGACATGTTTTCAACCCTCGTAGCTTATCACGAGGAGAGGTTAAAGTTCCCATGACGCTTTTTAACCTCTATACCAAGAAATACAAGCTTTTGCGTTGGGGGTACAAACCTGTCCCCGTTGATTGTGGAACCCAAACTTACAATTCCACATTTTAAGGCCATCTTCCCGAGGGAAGACAGTTAACTGACTTTAAAAGTCCAGTTTCCATCCTTGCCGAACTAGGCTGGAATTACTGGGCTCAATCGTAGCGCCACCAGTGGCTATTACCAGTTATGTCCCTTCTAAGCCTCTCCTATGGACCAACCAGATTCCACCTCTCGTATCACTTGCGTTTGCTTCACACAAAATGGTGGCGCCCAGTCAGGACGATCTGCTCGATAATCAAGATCTATATTGTGACAAAACGGGTCTTACATCGTGAAATGCATCAAATCACGTGAGCACCTTCATTAAAAACATGAAAAGATTTGGAAAATATCGGCTGACAACGAGTTGGCAGTGCACATGCTTTGCAAATCCTGCAATCGACCGAAATCTGCACGACAGTATACGAACCGGATTTCGATTTCAGTGCGCGATTTTGATTGGACTATGCAAAAACTCGTTAGTCCAGCCAAAATGTAACTCCATAATACCAGCCTAGTTCGGCAAGGGTGGAAACTGGACTTTTAAAGTCAGTTAACTCTCTTGCCTCGGGAAGATGTATTAAGGCTGTTATTTCACAGTCTGATTTTGTTTCTGCGATTACAAGGAAATTGTCAATGTACACCACAATAGCCACGCTCGAACCAGAAAATTTAGGTTGAAATATTCTTGTTATACTGGACAATTGTTAGAATACATCCAGAGTCCCCGCGAGACGTAACAACAGGTAGCGGTGTATCAAACCATGTATGTAACAGCATCACTGTCACCAAACTGCTACTTTAGTCCGAGCGCTTGAATCCGGGTGTACTGGCACTCGAGGATCAACCAATGTATGTAACAGCATCACTGTCACCAAACTGCTACTTTAGTCCGAGCGCTTGAGTCCGGGTGTACTGGCACTCGAGGATCAACCCATGTATGTAACAGCATCACTGTCACCAAACTGCCACTTTAGTCCGAGCGCTTGAGTCCGGGTGTACTGGCACTCGAGGATCAACCCATGTATGTAACAGCATCACTGTCACCAAACTGCCACTTTAGTCCGAGCGCTTGAGTCCGGGTGTACTGGCACTCGAGGATCAACCCATGTAGATCTATCTTGGACATACACCGCAACAGTGAATCGCGGCGCCTAAGACGACTGGGCCACCCGTGCCCCTGATATAATGAGATAACATATTGGCGTCACGCTTATGGCGCGAAATCAGTGATCCATAACATAGTCTTTTGGGTATAATATACCGTTATGGGCAGTGTAGTTTTTTTTCCACTTTTCCTCCACCCTCGACTGGCACAGGCAACTACTCTAATGTTGTCCAACAAAGTGTCAAAGACGTGTTGGTGTTCTTGTTCCCACTTCCAATTTTAATGTGGCTTAAGCTGTCCATTCAAAATATCCATCAAGTGTCGAGAAATTCTGACAAGGTTCTTTACAAGGCGGTGATAGCACCTGGTGAATCCGAGGAATTCCGCATTGACAACTGAGTCAGAGTGGCTGCAGGGTAAGTGTCATGTATCAAAGTGGCAGTGGATGTATCAAAGGATGAATCCCCTTTATTGCCAGAATCTTCACCTGAAAATATAGATATCCTCAATGGATGCTGATATACAGGCCAATGTGAAGTCGAGAAAGTTTGTTGGTGACATCAAGAGTTCGTACTTACTGCTGGACCAGGAGTGAAAGGTGAGTACTCTGGAGGTGTGGACGCATGTCCCTGGCTTGGGTTGGATGTAAACAAATTTTTCTGTTTTGGTTGGGTTGTAACTTGATGAATGTCATACCTTCCTGTGCCCTTCAAGTAAGCTAATATCCTAACTTCATCTTCAGCAGACAAAACTTCAGACTTGACCTCCCAATCTTCACCACCCTGAGCCATGTTGATTTATACAACACACATACATATACACATATGTCATTGTACACATAAACATGTACACAATGACTATGTCAATACACTGTAGCCGAATGCATGTAAATGTAAACAATAACACTGTATTTCAGCATAACAATTTGGGAATATCCGATCTACTTCAATTTACTTCATTCGATAAATTTTATAATCTGTGTATACTACTCAAAATTCATGTATTGCAATTTCGCTATGTTTGCTTTGTAATATGTGGAATACCAAATAATTACAATTGTTGAATATATTTCTTTTCCTGTTAAAGTCTGTGACTTCATAATTGTACTGCAATCTACTCCATTGATTCCATTCTTTGACAAAGCCGACATACAGGCTGTACGCTCCTTCCCTTCTCCCCTCACACAGTTGTACAGTGACTGATAAGGTATGACAAGGCATGTTCCAGTGACCAACATTTGCGTAAAATTAGACCAGACAGGTGTATTCAGTGTGGGCTGGCCTGGGGACGATAAGCAACGACGCTTACCTCTATCTGACACTCACACACACTGTGTTACAAACACAAAGCTGTTTTACTGAGCTGGCTACACACGCTTAGACATGAGTTTGCTGTGTGTCCTGTTTGTTGCCTCCGTCACATGTCTTCAACACAGCTCTGCTGCAGACAAACCACACATCGTCTTCATCGTGGCAGATGACCTTGGCTGGAACGACGTCGGCTGGATCAACCCTGACATCCAGACCCCGACACTTGACCGTCTCGCCCATAGAGGCGTCATCCTCAACTCTTCCTATGTCCAGCCACTGTGTTCCCCCTCCAGAAACTGCTTCATGTCAGGCAAGTTTCCCTACCACACAGGGCTCCAGGATAACGTGATCTTCATAGAGCAACCCAAGTACATGCCAGCGGACCTGACCACCATCCCACAGAGGCTGAAGACCCTCGGGTATGATACCCACATGGTCGGCAAATGGCACCTAGGCTTCTGTAACCTGAAGTACACGCCCACCTACAGAGGCTTTGACACCTTCATGGGCTACTATGCAGGTATGGAGGACTACTTCACACATGTCAGGGACGAGGTGGCTGATTACTATGGTTATGACTTCAGGAACATGACAGATGCTTACAAAGACGCTCAAGGGGAATACTCCACATACGTGTTTGCGAAGAGAGCCATTGACATCATAATGAATCATGACAAATCTAAGCCGATGTATCTCTACCTGCCGTTCCAAGCTGTACATGAACCACTGCAGGTACCGACCAAATATTCAAACCGATACAGCCACATTCATGATTTAAATAGGATGGTATACAGTGGCATGGTGAGTGCTTTGGACGATGCTGTGTACAACATCACCTCTGTCCTCGAGGACCTTGGATTCATGGACAACCTACTTCTTGTGTTTACAACAGACAACGGTGGGCCTCCTAGTCAAGGCGCAAATAACTGGCCACTGAGGGGCGGGAAAGCCACACTTTGGGAGGGAGGCACCAGGGGAGCGGGTTTCGTCTACAGCAAGACTCTGCTGAAGAAGACAGGCTACACACATCCTGGTCTGTTCCACGCCGTGGACTGGTATCCCACGTTAATGGACATAGCGGGGGGAGACTCCAGCCAGCTGGACATTGATGGGTTGAGTCAGGTCGACATGATCCTCAATGGAGGTGGCAGCGTCAGGAACCAATTTGTCTACAACATCTACGACGACCACTACGCCGCAGCACTCAGGTGGGGAGACCTGAAGTTGATTGTTGGAGACCCTGGTTACTCAGGATGGTACCCTCCGGCTGGGTCTGACTTAGACGTCCCCGTCATGGACGACTCTCCCCTCCCCAACGTCATGCTGTACAACATCAGCGCCGACCCCACGGAGCACCAGGACATCTCCAAGGACAACCCAAACCTCGTCAACTTCCTGCTGCAGATGCTGGCCCTGAAGAATGGGACTCGGGTGCCAGCAATGGACCCACCCTCTGACCCTCGATCTAACCCTGTCAACTTCAACGGTATCTGGAGCCCCGGCTGGTGCTAAGCATTGGTGGTGTATCATGCAGTGTGCCAGTCTACCTCCTTCACTGTGAGGATCCTTTGTGAATTCACAGCTAACTCAAACAATCCTTCTTTATCATCATTGTGCCAATTCTGCAGAACAGTCTACTATTACAGGTTTAACTATAAGGACCATTCGTCTTAACTTTTGATTTTTAATTATTATTTGTTTCATATTCAGAAGAAATACAAGTCGACCCTAAGTTATAAAACTGTGAGCAGGGAACGTGTCAGAGAGTCTTTGTACAAGACACCAATCATGGGATGTTCTGATATCTGTAGGGGAGACAACTTATACAAGATGAAGCTATGGTCTTTGCTTTCATTAAAAACATATGACATATATCTTTTTAAAAATTTTTATTTGAGTTTGTTGACCACCGCTCATTGATTGATGTATGTACTTTGCTTCGTGTCTTTGGAATTAGTGAGTTGGTTGACTACTACTACTATGGCTACGAATAAGCTGTACTGCTACTAATGATGCTACTACTGCTCCTTCTCCCCCCCACCTCCTCTTACTACTACTACCTTTACTACTACTACTACTACTATTACTACTACTACTACTACTACTACTACTACTACTATTACTACTACTACTACTACTACTACTACTACCTTTACTACTACTACTACTACTACTACTACTACCTCCACCTCCTCCTCTCTCTCCCCACACCTCCTCTTACTACTACTACTACTACTACTACTACTACTACTACCTTTACTACTACTACTACTACTACTACTACTACTACTACTACTACTACTACTGCTGCTCCTACTTCTTCCCTCCACCTCCTCCTCTCCACCTCCACATCTGCTGCTGCTGCTGCTGCTGCTGCTCATCCTTCTCCCTTCCTCCTCCTACTACAACTGCTGATACTACTAATGCTGCTGCTTATGTATTTGTGGTTGAAACATCAGAATTGTTCCAGCTTTTTCACGGGAGTCATAATTAAGGCCGGATCATATAAATCAGTGATTGATTTTTTAAGTAACATCCCGTACAGTCAGGATACGATGACGCGTATCAGCTAGGTCAATGAGGATATTGCTGACTGTAACAACTTATCTACCTGTTACACTTTTGCAAAATGTCTACAAGATGTCTGCCAAATATCTACCAGGTGTCTGCCCGATGTCTACCAGATGTCTATCTACCAGATGTCTGACAGTTATCTACAAGATGTCTACTAGGTGTTTACCAGATGTCTGACAGTTATCTACCAGATGTCTACTACGTGTCTACCAGATGTCTGACAGTTATCTATCAGATGTCTACTAGGTGGCTACCAGATGTCTGACAGTTATCTACCAGATGTCTACTAGGTGTCTACCAGATGCCTGACAGTTATCTACCAGATGTCTAATAGTGTCTACCAGATGTATGACAGTTATCTACCAGATGTCTAATAGTGTCTACCAAATGTCTGACAGTTATCTACCAGATGTCTGATAGTGTCTACCAGATGCCTGACAGTTATCTACCAGATGTCTAATAGTGTCTACCAGATGTCTGACAGTTATCTACCAGATGTCTAATAGTGTCTACCAGATGTCTGACAGTTATCTACCAGATGTCTAATAGTGTCTACCAGATGTCTGACAGTTATCTACCAGATGTCTAATAGTGATCTACCAGGTGTCTAATAGTGATCTACCAGATGTCTAATAGTGATCTACCAGGTGTCTAATAGTGATCTACCAGGTGTCTGACAGTGATCTACCAGGTGTCTAACAGTGATCTACCAGATGTCTAATAGTGATCTACCAGGTGTCTAATAGTGATCTACCAGATGTCTAACAGTAATCTACCAGGTGTCTAATAGTGATCTACCAGATGTCTGACAGTGATCTACCAGATGTCTAACAGTGATCTACCAGGTTTCTAACAGTGATCTACCAGATGTCTAATAGTGATCTACCAGGTGTCTAATAGTCATCTACCAGATGTCTAACAGTGATCTACCAGATGTCTAACAGTGATCCACCAGATGTCTACTTAGTGTGTATCCTATTTATTATATACTTTTTTGTGTAGTCGTCTACCAGAAAATTAAATTATTTCATTACAAATGTAAAACCTTGAAACGTAAATTCCCCCTACATAACAGACAGGGACGGTTCATCACCCCTTGTATTTGCGACTTATAAAGTAGTTTCGTGTTTGCAAAATCGTACAAAAATAAAAACAAAAGTATAAAAAAATATTGAGGGTCACGAAAATTCTTCATCATACATTCAGATATGATTATATACAAAATCAACTGTAACCCAAAATATTCTTGAAAATTAAGAGACTGCTGTTGGAAGCTAAAGAATACACGCTGGTCAAGTAACAAAAATGGCACTTTGCGAAACGAACAGTCTCGATTGACGAGTTCAATGAGAAATTTACAGTTTCTAAGGAAACATTTTCGAGAGAATAACACATGGCAAGAAGTGATATTAACTCCATAAACGACCGTCTATCATTATTTTGCCTTGTCAATGTGGACCCAACGTAAAAAGGACGTCAACAGTTTGTATCCGGGCTAGTCACTTACGATAAAGGGAGACAACTCCCTACTTAATGGGAGGTAACTCTTGTACGATAATAGTTCCGTCAAAGAGTTATGTTCACTGCAGTGAAATATCAAGTGTTATGTTCACTGCAGTGAATTATCAAGTGTTATGTTCACTGCAATGAAAATATCGCCTTTCTCAACTTCGGAAAAATCAGTCTATATAAGAAATATACCACGTGTCTGCTAGATGTCAAATAGATGTCTACCAGATATCTACCAAGTTTCTACTAGGTGTCTGCTAGATATCTTCCAGGTGTCTACTAGGTGTCTGCCAGATATCTACTAGGTGTCTGCCAGATGGCTACTAGCTGTCTGCCAAATGTCTACCAGATATCTACTAGGTGTCTACCAAATGTCTACCAGATATCTACCAAGTGTCTACTAGGTGTCTGCGAGATATCAACCAGGTGTCTACTAGTTGTCTGCAAGATATCTACCAGCTGTCTACCAGGTGTCTGTCAGATATCTACCAAATGTCTACCAGATATCTACCAAGTGTCTACTAGGTGTCTGCTAGATATCTACCAGGTATCTACTAGTCGTCTGCCAGATATCTACCATGTGTCTACTAGGTGTCTGCCAGATATCTACTAGTTGTCTGCCAGATGGCCACCAGCTGTCTGCCAAATGTCTACCAGATATCTACCTAGTGTCTACTAGGTGTCTGCCAGATATCTACCAAGTGTCTACTAGGTGTCTGCTAAATATCTACCAGGTGTCTACCAGGTGTCTGTCAGATATCTACCCGATGTCAACTAGGTATCTGCCAGATGGCTACCAGCTGTCTGCCAAATGTCTACCAGATATCTACCAGGTGTCTACTAAATGTCTACCAGATATCTACCAGGTGTCTACCAAATGTCAACCAGATATCTACCAAGTGTCTACTAGGTGTCTGCGAGATATCTACTAGGTGTCTACCAGTCGTCTGCCAGATATCTACCAGGTGTCTACCAGGTGTCAACTAGGTGTCTGCCAGATATCTACCAGGTGTCTTCTAGGTGTCTGCTAGATAATTACCAGGTGTCTACCAGGTGTCTGCCAGATATCTACCAGGTGTCTGCCAGATATCTACCAAGTGTCTACATTTGTGCAAAAAGGGAGTAATGATATGTTTTGAACTTTTTAACATTTCAGCTAGGACATCATCGGGGCCTGGAGATTTACCTGATTTAAGTGTATTAATGGCATCGTGTATTTCAGCGACTTCGATTTCCGATTCTAAAATATCTCGCTCAACATCAGATAAATTTACATCATTAACAACATCATGGATGTTGTCGTCGAAAATATGGTTATTTCCAAAAACCTGTTTGAAATGGAGAAGCCATTCAGGACCTGTAATATTATTACGTGCAATGACTGGATTACGTAGAGATTTTATCACTTTCCAAAAATGCTTTGAGTTCTTTAATGAGTTGGTTAATTTATTCAATTTCAGATGTCTGAAAGAGTTAAGGTGTTGTCTGCATTCTGTTTTATATTTGTTTCTTGGTTTACAATAACTTCTATTTAGTTCTGATCTATTTCGTCGAAACTCGCGAAGGACTCTTCTGGCTGATCTCTTGTGTTCTTTACATTTACCGTTTAAACTGAACAGCTTTTTAGGAACTAAATTTGAACACGAGCGTCGTTTCATACATTTGCCAGACTCCAAAAGAATGTTTATAAAGAGATCGACCGCATCATGCATATTACTCCTCAAAGTATGAAACAGGGTGTCAGACACCTCATCAAAAGTATTGCTTAGACATCGTAAGAAGTCAGGTTTTTTAGATTCATTCCATCTTAAACTGTCAGAAAATATATCCTCTGATAATGGTTCCGATACAGGATTATAAAACGCACACTGTAGTTCTAAAGGAAAGTGGTCGGAGTCTGTGCTCCCCCCAACAGTTAGGCAATCAACAAATCTGAAGAATTCAGCTGGCGCTATAAAATAGTCAACAGTGCTACTGCCATTACTACTTACACATGTTAGTTCAACACTTCTGTCGCCATTCACTCTGACATTCATGATATACAGGTTATAAACATAACATAAATTAAGAAGAAAGCGACCAAATTTGTTAACCACATCATCCAGTGACGATCGTTTACCAATGTCACAAGTGGATCGTCTTCAGGAAATATATCTGGATCACCGTGATTTAATTCAGGTTCTGGAGGGTTATTCTCAGTACCTGTTCGAGAATTGAAATCCCCACACAGTAATATAAAGAAATCAGATTGGTACTCTGATAGGTCGAGAAGAAAGTTATCAATTTTATCAAATAAGCAAGCATTTGGATTTTTCACGTAATACGTTGAGTTTTCAGGGGGAATATAAAAACAGAAGATCAGAATATCTTTTGGTAAACCGAAGGGAGTTTTCTTAATTTCTATGGTCAAAAGATTGTCAATATCATTTCGACGTAACACACAAAACTGTTGAAATCTAACAGCAAAGCAAACTCCACCACTATTCCTGCCATGACCTGACAATTTCACCGACGGGGAGTAAAATATTTTATATCCAGGCAACCAGTCATAGTCTACGTTATCCAAAAAGTTTTCAGATAGACAAAGAAAGTCAAAGGTTACAGATATGAAATAAAGTCATTATTTGAGAGTTTACTGGATAGACCATTCACATTCCAGCAGAGAAATCGGCACAGAGTGTTATCAATTTCATGAGTGAGGTTGATACCGGTGCGTCGTTCATTTGGCTCCTGTGAACAATTGACCGGGGCCGGGCCGAGTCCTCAAGTAGTTTTATTCCTGGCGCCTGAT